GGACAGAAGAGACGAAGGGAAGGGCGGGTTACAGAGAGCCAGGGAAAGAGGGAGAGAGAGAGCGATGCTTGAGACTGAGGAATACACTGAGGTGTCTGATGCATTTTCCACTGTCAGGGAGCCTAAATAAATAAGTTGAGACACGAAGTGCTATGCCTGGGTAATACCTTAGCTTTCAACTCCTGTCCAGTTGGATTTCTTCTTCGAGGTAAAAACAATAAAAAAGACAAAGGTGGTCTAGTTTACTCCATCTCTGACAGGAGACTACAGCTGACGGGATCGAGGAAAATTTCAACTACAAAATGCAAAGATCGCCGTGAGCAGGTCTGTCGATCAACCTGCCAGATATCTGCAATATCAAAGGGCAAGGAAATGGTCTCAAAATCATATTTGACGCACAGGCATGCAAATGCAAATTCGACTCTTGCTTTTTACGTACTTGCGAGAACCACGTTTTCTACCGCAAAAGGCGCCTACTACCGTGGCCATAGTTGATGGTTGCCCATATCCCTTTCCGAACAATTTACAAAGCAAGTTACATCAACTTCAGCTGCCAACATCTCCATCCAGATCACGAAACGTTAAAATTCCCTAGGAGATTCGATTGACAGATCAATCAGAAGATAGCTCATTTGTAAAAAATATTCTGCATGCGAAGTCGGAAAGGCACACCCCACTGTGCACAAATAATGTAGCTGAAATATTTTAAATTGGCTGCTGCTTTATGAAGCTGGTTTGATTGACCTTGAGTTGACATGAGCTTTGCAAGTTTGTGCTCCTCAGTCAAGGTCATGGCTCGAGAATCAGGCGTAAAAGCGTGTTCAAGTGATACACATAGGCATAATCACGCTCCCTGCATTTACACATTTCATACATCCAGTCCCCTCAATCAGTTCGCAAAACCTAACAGTATAAACCCACAATAATCTAGCATACATGCGCGATGGACCAAGCCCGCTGTTCGGTTTCCCCAAAACAGTCGACTCATGCACTTTTTGACAAGGTCGCGCTAACACTGCTTAAAGCGTGATTTCCAGGCATCGCGATAGAAGGTAAAATGTTTGTGCCAGAAGAAGTGGCGAAAAATTTCAAGCAAATAATTATCATGCCAGCCAGTCCCGAGCCGTCCCACCTACCTACCTACCGTCTTAATGCTGCTTAATCCTCTTACCAAAAGGTTGTGGTGCGACTCCATATCCCCCCGCTGTCTACATTGCATACAGTAAGTTGGCTAACTCGTGAAATCTCAACAGAAATTCCGAAATGCGTTTTCGATTCGAAACGATTACTTAAGTACGGTTGTAAAACAATCATCATGCAGCATAATTCTATAATAATTCAGTTGTCAAAGGACGCCTGCGTTCAAACAAACTTCTTTCCGGCTGAATCTAAGAACCATACTCAGTGAAAAATGACTACTTAAGTAGCATGCATTTTTCATCAATTTTCGATGCCCTTAAAGATTCAATTATATTTAATAGAAAACATGCATAAAAATATTCATTCTTTTGCTTATTCGGTAGAACAGTACGTCTTCTTTCAATTTTATGCTCGTAAGAAGGGTATAATTTTGTCTTATAAAACTTTTCCAATTCCCGACTAATTTTGAACCCGGCCTGCCGTTACACTTGCATTCAGGGTTCAAAAAACCCAATCCGTATATTTTGAGCTTACGGAAAACCATATATTCCTCTACGGTAGTAAAGGCGGACCATATAGCGTTCATAAAATTAATCAATGGATTTGAGCCACATTGTCAAATTTAAAAGCTACATTGGTAAATACGGAAACATGACGTTTTATGAAGGGCCATTTCACGGTATTAAAAAATCTCACAATTATAAACTTTTTTAAAACCAAATCATACCGTCTCTTTGAGTGTAAAATTGAAAGAGGACGTAACTTTCTACTGAATGGGCAAAATAATGAGTATTCTTATACATGTTTTCCATGAAATATTATTGAATCTTTAAGGGCATTGAAAATCATTGAAAAAATGCGTGCTAATTAAGTAGTCATTTTTCACGGAGTATGATTTTTGGATGCTGCCAAAAAGAAGTTTGCTCGAAAGCCGACGTCCCGAGGTAACTGAATTATTTTAGCATTATGTTGCATGATGTTTCTTTTTACAATTCTACTTAGTTAATCTTTCCGAAACGGAAACGCATTTCGGAATTTCTGTTGAGATTTCATGATTTAGCCCACCCACTGTAAATATCTACTCGGGGCATACGGAAGTACGCGTGCGACGGCAATGCCATGTTTCAACGGGAGACACTGAAGATTAGGCACTTATAGTAGAACCATGAAAAACCAGAAGTGAATTGTTAGAAGCATTTTTAGATGAAAGCCGTTCGTAGCATCTACTAAGATGTGTTTATTTGACGCTGGACGCTGAAGACAAGAGCGTCGGAAACAGTACCCAGCCTTTCATAACTTGCTCAAAGGTTACGGATAGAGAAACTTAATTTGAGAATTCCTTTTCAAGGTGATAAGGAATGCTCTGACATCGGGTGGTAACTCGCCATTTCAAAAGATGTCGGTGACAACGTCAGTCTTATAAAACATGTGCGTAATTTCTTCATTCAACCTTGAAACGATCAGAAGGCCGTGCAAACACCCGCCTCATAGAATGTTTAACAAGGTCAAACTAACACCATTGAAACGTGATTTCCAGGCATTCTGATCTCGCACTTGCGTCAGAAGCAGCCTTGTAAAAACCCAACCAGCAGTTAGTTTGGTTGACAGCTCCAAGCCCCTCTGTTCGTCGGTTACCTAATATATCATGCTACTTAAAACGTTTCAGTGCTTGATACGTTTTCATTCTCAATTTATTTAAATGTGTACATTTAACGGACTGCAAACGCGGGTATTCTGGCGTGTGTTTGACGCAGACAGCAAGGGTGTTAGATAGGAGGCGTCTAACGCATCACACAGTAGCAACTTCATTGTTCAGCATCAGACACTAGCGAGTCGGGTGAGGACAGCAAAAACCTGCTGGTATGCCGCGTTTATCGATTTGAGCGCTAGGGTTACGTTGGCTGCGAGTTGAAAATTCATCTACGAGGGGGTTACCTACGCCTCTATGTCTCTACTATCCGCTTCCAGTGACAAAGGTTTCTGTGGATGAGACTCATCTGCGCAAACTGTCTCATGCCCGTTGGGTTCGCTATGTGTGTCCGAGTTAGTTCATCATTGTCGCTGATTGGACGAGCAGCTTGTTTTCGCGGCGTTTGTGCACTGTCTTCCCCTGGCACATCAGTCGGACCCGCTATCCAAAATACGACCAAGCCAGAGTCGCTTGTAGTCTAGCCATCATGGTCAACTAGCAGTAGCTGGTGCTCGTTTCTCATGGTCCGTTTCAAATAAAATTTCTGCCTTCGCGACTGTCGTAAAACCGTTTGAAGACATGGCAGTCTTTTAGTTTCTTTGGAAAATAATCTCTAATTTGGGGTAAATCAGTCTGTTTGAGAATTGTAGACTCAGACTACGGAATAACCGCCTAATTTTCCTAAACTTCCAACAGGCCACCAGTAGTACATATGTGTCCAGGTAGCACGACACGTGTCATGTGTTGATTTTGTTGTCACGACCAGCAAATGGATGATAACCATCCTCCAATGTAGACCAACGTCGTCGTTTGGATGGACAAATTGTTGTCGCGGTGTTTGCAATCTGTCTTATCCTGTGCTCACTAGCTAGGGCAGTGATGAGAACTACGGTCAAGTCGACGGCGCAGTCGATCACGACGAAGGGTATAGGATCGCTGTAGCAAGAGCCTTCATAGACTGACGTGTCGGGTCTGCGTTGGAACCCACCATCGGATAAGGAATCAGATTAGCGCAGGGACTCTCAGAACAAACCTTTTTCCCGCCTTGTTTAATTTCCGAGGAAATTAATGCGCGAACTTGGAGTAAGTCTTTCGAAACGGGTCTTTTAAGGCACGGTCCAAGTTCGCACATTAATTTCCTCGGAAATCAAATAGGGCAAGTTGAAACTGGAGTTCATGTACCAGAGAACACACGAAGAAAGCTGGGGGACCCACTGACGAGCCGAACCCCTCGCAACTGCGTCAGGCAGCGGCATAAGATCGGCAAAACACGCGTGTCTGGGCTTTTAGCTTATACCTGTGTTGTTAGTACGGTAAATCATTGCACAAACGTCTTTCCGGCTGCTTGCAAAAACTACGCTCTGTATAAAATTTGCTGTTTAAGTAGTATAAATGTTTTTCCTTGATTTTCGATTAACACATAAATTCTATGATATCTCATAGAAAGCATGCATAAAATACCCATTTTTTCTCATTTGACAGGGAATTACGTCTTCTTCAAATGTTGTACTTGAAGGTAGGATATAGCTCGGCTTCAAAAATATTCAGTCGGTGGAGGTAACAGTTTCGAGCGGCGTACCTCGGGACTCCGTTCTTAGTCCTATCCTTTTCCTCATACATGTTGATAACTGCATCCGTGGGTTGGATTGCGACATTGCCGTGTCTGCTGACGACATAAGGCTTTGGAAAGTCATCCGCAAGGAGGACAATGAAACAAATCTCCAGGCAAATTTGAACCGACTCTAGCAATGTTCAAGTCACTGGTTCCTGCCAAATGTAACATTCTGCGAATTGACAGAACCACTTCTGCGCACCGGAGGAAGTACTATCTAAATCACACACCGCTGCCAGATGAAGAGGTTCAGAATGATCTGGGTGTGTGGATAATATATAACTAAAGCCATCATCCCACTGCTTGAAAGTAGCGAAATCCACAATGTCCAGCGGGAATTTGCTAATTTCGACAAAAAGCACTTTGGTAAAGTATTCGGAATGCTCGTGCGGCCACAGTTGGATTTTGCCATTCAGGCCTGGAGACCCTGGTCTCCACCCTCAAAAAAGTGCAACGACGAGGTCAAAAAACCTACCTTACGAAAGTCGATTGTTCAGTCCTGATCTCTTTCCCCTGGATTAGAGACAGTTACGTGACGACTTAATTCAGACGTTTCGTATGCTGCGGGGTCGGGATTGTTGTCTCGCATCCAGCGACTTCTTTGTGTCGGCCACCACTACTAGCTTGAGGGGACATCCTCTCAAAGTACGTGTGAGCGGGGCAAGAGTGGACGCGAGGAAATTCTTCTTCATTCACAGGGTGATTAAGACATGGAATGCTCTGCTTGTGGACGCGGTCATGTCCTCATCCGTGGACACATTTCAGAGGAAGCTTGACCAGTACAGGAACATGTACCACCACGTCTTCACAAACGAACAAATTTTTCCCCTTGTACAACCCAGAACGCCATACCTCACAAGGTATGCTACTCCCTATATTTAACTAACATTATTTTACATTTTAAGTGTCTCAATCGGACGTCTGCATGCAAACCAATGAATCCTCATTGACTCATAGTGTGACGGCAGGTCGGCTTCAAAATTATTCGGAAATTGAAAAGCCTTCTAAAAACCACATTAAACTCCTCCTTCAAGTGCACATTTTGAAGGAGTCGTAGTTCTCTTTCAAACGAGCAAAAGAATGAATATATTTATGCGTGCTTTCTACGAAATACGTTTAAACTTACAAGGGTATCCAAAATCAATGAGTAGTCTTCTTTAGAGTGTAGTTTTTGTAGACGACCGGACAGTAGTTCGTTCAAAAGCCGGAACCCTGAAGTAACTGAATTATCTTGGGATTATGCTACACGGTAACTAATATTATAACACTGCTTAAGTAATCTTTTTGAGTCAAAAACGAATTTCCAATTCCTGCTAAGATTTCATGAGTTAACACATATAGTGTATGTGTAAGATGCAGTTACTATGCCACTGTGTGCCTGTCAAAATAATGCAGCACCCGCACGTTGTTGCTGCACGTGATGCCGTAATTGCATAATTGAAAAGTCAAGTTGACAAACACTTAGACAATCCAATGTTCCATCGGTGTTAAAGGAACTCAATGGGTTCCTCAAGTTTGACACCAGACTTGCGGAGGCACATGTGACGAGCAAATTCTTATCAGGATGTATTGAAAGGGGTGAATATTCCAAATACTACTAGGAAATCTTACGAAGAAACCATATCACCGCAACTTCAACTGCATTAAAACGACATGCAGAAAGTCACCTTGAGACGGTTAATGCCGGAATTAGAGAACTTCCCCGGAACTTGTGTCAGAGAACAGTGGCCCTTGACCGCCCTGAAAATCACGAGAGACTGGTATTTAAAGACTACGCAGAGGCAGTCAGAATTAAAAGAATGGAGGTCAGGTGGACTAAGCTCCTACGAAGCGTCCAGTCAGTAAAAACTCAGACCGTCCTTCCGAACAATCCGGAACGGTACACGCATAACTATTCTTCGGTACGTCTTGAGAAAGCTCTCGTAGAGGTATTAGCTGTTGGCCCGAAGTTTTGTATTGCACGGCGGATGCCGAAACAATTAGAGCTAGAAATACAATTTGAGTCTCTTTAGTCAGACTACAGATCTAAAACCTAGCGATCCTAAAGAAGTTGACTGTATTACGTCGACTCTAGTTAACTGCTGCCAACAGTATCTAAGGAAGGCTCCGATAAACAAGGGTTGCTTGACAAGAGCTCAAATCGATGGCCTCAGGGAACTCCGCAAAAACAAAAAACATTGTGCTTACTAGACCGGATAATGGTTCAGGAGTAGCACTAATGAATAGAATGGATTATATGGCGAAACAAGAGGAAATACTGTCGAATCGTTTCAAGTTTTCAAAATCCGAAAAAGACAAGAATCACACAGAGGCTGTTGAGGGTCAGCTGACGACTATTCTCAAAGATCTCTGCAAAGAAGTCCATTTGTCTAGTAAAAAGTATGAACGACTGAGTCCGGTGGGCACGACAATACCAAGAATGTACGGCCTTCCTAAAATTCACAAACAAGGGCTGCTCCTACGTCCAATCTTGGATATGAGGAATTCACCCGATCACACCGTTGCAAAATGGTAAGTGGAAAGACTATAGCCACTGCAAGGTCATCTGTATCCGCGAAGTTTGAAAGACTCCTTTGAGTACGTTAAGGCTATCAAAAGTGTTTACGTTGGCGGACGGAGGATGTTATCACTGGATGTATCATCGCTGTTTACTAACGTACCTGTGTCAGAAATGATAAATTACCTTTGTGATGTTACTCGTGATACGAACTACCCCATAGACATGCCTGTGAAAACGCTGAAAGAACTACTGACGCGTTGCACACAAAATGTCCAGTTTCTGTGCAATGGTCAACTATTCAGACAGATAGATGGCGTGGCAATGGGTTCACCTATTGGACCGTTCCTTGCAAATGTTTTCATGGGCAAAGTCGAGAAGGCAAGATTACAAGATGCCATTAATGACCTCGTCTTCTACGGTCTGTACGTGGACGATATCTTCTGTCTGGCGGATGGTACCACCGATATCGACGACCTTGTCCAAAAGATCAGCAGTGCGCACCCCTCGCTAAAGTTCACTGCCGAGTCTGAGGCAGATAACGAAATTGCGTTTCTAGATGTCCTTCTACACAGGCAGAAGGATACGTCTATGCAGCGCAGGGTGTTCCGAAAGAAAACCTGGACGGGACAATACATTAATTTCCACAGTTTTGTTCCCCTCAACATCAAACGAAATCTAGTCCAGGGATTGGCAGCTAGAGTGGGGCCCATCTGTTCATCTGAAGATACTGAAGCAGAGCTCCAACAGCTGCGGAACACACTTCGGGAGAACGGATACCCAGATAGATTTATCCTCCGAAATATTAGGGAACGCACCGCAAAGCCCAGTGTTGCAACCGCAGAAAAGAAAGAGGTATTCATAAGATTGCTTTTTGCAGAAGACGCAGAGAACGAACTAGTCAGACGGCGCTTAACTGCAGCCATCGCGAGGGCATTCCCCGCGGCGAATTTACGCGTATGCTTCAAAAACTCTTCCCTCCTACGTTTGGAGGTAAAGACAGACTACCTTTAGAGGCCACGCCAATGTGCATTTATTCATTCACTTGCTCCTGTGGAGCAGGATACATCGGCCGCACAACGAGACGCCTGGTAAAGAGGGGGCGTGAACACATGCCCGCCTGGCTAGACAGAGGTGAGACCCAATCGATTTCGAGTTCTATTCTCGCACATTTAATCGATACGGATCACCGAGTCGATGCCAAGGAAGCATTTCAGGTTTTCCATCAGACACCAACAAGCTTCTCTAAAGGCCTACGTCAACGGATACTAGCAACGGCCGAGGCAGTGCCTATACGGCTAGCAAATCCAGTGTCATGCTGTCAGAAAACCCTGACACAAGCGCTCTCTCTGCCGTGGCCAACGCCAACCTCAAGTGATGACGGCATGCCGCCTCAAATCCCTAATTACAATGGTGGGTACTCCGTGTACTCAATCCAGGAACATCACTCAAAGACTCTCTTACTTCCGTCCCCTAGCTCTAACGACCAAAACCCGCCGACCTCATCATGCGGGTGGCGTGGGGAAGATGAGTGTTAATGACTTAAAAGCCCTTGAACTATCTATAAACACTGTTAATTTTGTACAGTTTCATTCCTTCATGCAACTGTATTCGCCTGACGAAGAATTATCGAAAACACGTGTTTGACTTTTCACGTGTAACATGGGAATATTTGCGGAACTTAGTCAATTGCGGTCGAGCTGTTAGTTGACGAAATTTCATCACTCGTGTGATTTCCTCTTGACTATTTGGTTCGCCGACACCGGTGCCGGGAGCAGTGGTTGTCCCCGCCCTCCTGGTTTGTGCATTTATTTTGCCTAAGCATAAATTATAAAGGGAGGGAGTTATTGTGCTTGTTAACGGACTAAGAACCGAAATACCCTAACTGGAGTACTTCGTGACTCAAGCGTTTTCCCCGCTTCGTGAGAATTTCAGCCTCGTCGAACTTGAATGTGTGGTCGGGCCCCATAGAATGAATCGTGATTTGGAGGTGGCGCTGTTCTTCCCCACCGCTGCTGCGCGCTCGTTCATCGACGTCCGGAGTAGTTGACCAGTTTTTACGTTTTTGCCACAGCTACATCAGAGCTGACAGAAAACTCCAATCGTTTCCTACTGTAGCAGGGGGGTCTTTCGGCCGAATAATTTGGTGACTGATGGTTGTTTCCGGTCTGCATGTAATCCCAACTCCCAACTCCGCGATGTCTTTGATGTTCGGGAGCACTCGCCAAAATTTGGGGCCGGTCGGATTTAGTCTCTTGTCTTTTTTAGGCATTCACGGGTTGACGAATTTGCGCGGGTAGCCATTCGCTTTACGTACCCGCAAAAGAGATTGCAATTTGACAGCCTCGTCTTCCGGTTCACTGGAGGACGTCTCAACACGTCGGTGTAGCGCTCTTCTGAAAATGCATTTGTGGCCGATTGAGTAGTTGCTGTTGTAGCTGTGTAATTGCGTCGTATTTGTCGCTTTGGTTTTTAGGCGACCACAATCCTTGGGCGTGTTCAAGGTGATTCCCCTTTTTATCACATTTGCTTTGAAGGAGTGCTTCGATGGTCTCGCCCGCCAGATTCTGGAGGATAGAATTTAAGAGGGACGTAACACAAAATTACCCCATGACCACGTCTGCGTAGGAGATCTACCCCTTTTAAGTTTCTTCAAGAATTCTGTCGACCAGTTGACTATAGTGGCCGAATTAGCGAACAGAAATTTGAGACCCCGAAACAACCACTTTGACAGTCCGTAATACGATGGTTCAGAGAGGAGCGCACTCTTTTTACACTTCAGGGAGGCCTCAGAATCGGGCTAGGGCTGTGTCTTGCGCTTTCGCCATTACGATCATGCATCTGAGTTCTCCAGTGCAACGAACAGTGAATTAGTTTGGCGTGTCGGCGTCTTTACGGGATTGGCTGCTCACGGCGGATTGAACTAACGACCCTCCAGTAAACGCTTGACATGCTGAAGGTCCTCTATCCTGTCCAATATAAAAGTGGAACGTCCTTGTCTGCGGGCACGATGATGTTTTTGTCGGCCTTGGGCTCCCTTGATGCATCACGTTGGACCTTGGGAAGTACTTCGAGTAGTCTGCGAATCATGAGTAGAGACTACACTTGGTGTCGGACATGATCCTTCGTCTCCGATGCTTCCGTCTGGCTGAGGATTGATTACACCGCTACGATCATGTTGACAGGCTTGGTATCAATTGTGCAGAATAGGGTTTTATGCCGTAAATCCTGTATTTACTCCTTCGTCAGTTTCCCTGACGGCAGATTGTGCACCCGTTTGTTGGTTTTGGGCGATGCTGGGTCATAAAGCTATCGAAAGTTGTTCTTCATTACTGTGTCCTGTATAGATGTTGGTTTGCGGGCTCGTTCAGCGACCCTTTTCTGGAGTAGCTTTGTACCATTCTCTGACGATACTTGTTCCGATGTTCCACATTTTGGGGTTGGGTATTACTGGCTGACGACGTCTGATAAGCCAGAAATGGCCATTGCAGTCTACCTTGTCTTTGTGAGTTATAATATACTGCATACATATATAAGTGAAGAAGAAGAAGAAGAAGAAGAAGGAGAAGAGGAATCGAGCACCGGAACACTTTGTTTATTGTCCTGAGCTTTCAGACTCGTACAAGAGTCCATCGTCAGAGGTAGTAGCACATTTCGGTAAAGCGTTGTTGTCGAGACACTTGTATAGAAACCGACGTTGAACATACGTAGAAGGCACTCAAGCGGCAAAGGTTGCCCATAGTCTGACCCACTGGGACACGTCGCGTCCAAAAATCTCTCTATAAAAGTGAGGAGGCGGGTTCCACAAAGCAGTCACGAGGGGGACACAATCGATGGAGAATTAAGCTCGTGTTCTACCAATCGTCTATCTCTTCACCACTGCATCCCAGAACACGTGTTCTAGTCTCAATCAGCGCGGCCGGTCTAGACCACTAGTGTCACTATTATTATTCTTGCTACTGCTACCACCACATCTGCCATTTTTACAGTCTTTTCAAACTGAGTTTCGGTTTTCGGCAAATTATTTTGCGCATTTGTCCCTTCCATTTGCTGTTGTCTTGAGCATCAAAGTCAAATAGGCACATTCCGCTTGATTCTGTCACTATAACTGTGCCAAGATTCGTCGTCTTTCTGTCCCACTTTCTATATCTCTGTGAGAGATCTAGAACTAGAAGTTAGAGAACGAAGTAGTGAAAAAGAGATGGAAGAGATAAAGAATAAGTGTGGCTCCACCGGTTTTTGACTGAGTGATTGTACAGTGCAGAAACGAGCATGTGAAATAAGACCCCGAGTAAATGCAAGGAAACCTCTTGTACAATATAATGTGCTTATGTTTATTTGGATGTTCATTTTGACCCAACTGGGAAAAACTCAGTGCGGAAGGATTTAGTACAGCCAACGTTCCAGCTACCTGAGCTACGAGGACCCGCTTCCATATCTGACCGCATATACCACTCGCATACAGTAAGTTGACGCTTGTAAACCTGTCGAAATGTTAATGTACTTACACTGGAATGTAGGCGATGCCCGCGCATAGATTACATCTGGGTGGGGGTGACAGATCACTCCGTGGGCCGGAATGTGCATGTGAAAGTCTCGCCTCTCAGACATAAATGGACATCAAGTAGTCATTTGTGAGTCCACAAAATTTTGTTGCATACAGCGGCCACAACCAGACAGGTCATTTTTATTTGAGGGTTTTCGAACATGGCAGAAAATGTGCGTAGGTCAGTAAGTAATGTGTCTTGCTGTGACGCTTGTGGAGGGAGGCTGGTGTCCTATTTTCCAGCCCATGCATAGAAGACGACACACAGCTTCGTGCGCGGTCTCTTCGTCTTCCAACCAATTGACTACTGTCGCTAAAAGTGGTATTTGGAGACGTCCAGGATGTTAATGTAGTCCCATTTATGGAGGCACCGCCTACATGATCACTCTTGAGCTACCAGAACTGTTGCTTGAAATTGCGTCAGAATCCTCTGATCCTGGTTTGTCATAGGCCGCGTTCGACATGATTGCTCAGTATTCAGGCCGACAGTTGGACTGCCGAAAATGACGCCGCCCACCGCATGTCCAACCGGGTGGGTGCAGCGTTAACGACCTACACGTAAACTGGTTAATATAGAAGAAGAAATGCCCTGCATACAGTAGGTGGGCTAACTCAAGAAATCTCAACCGAAATTTCGAAATGCGTTTTCATATTGACCCAACTGTGAAAAACTCGGCGCCTCGGTGGGATTCGAACCCACGCAGTAAGGGGGAAGGTTCTAGTACAGCCAACGCTCTAACCACCTGAGCTACGAGGCCCCGCCGGAGGACGCGAGTTTTATCACACTTGGGTCAAGTTACCCGCCCAACCTACCGCAACGTCTGGAATCCACCAAATCTGATACAGTAAGTTGACTGCCCAAGTAGGATTTCCTAAGTAATTCACCAAGAATCCACCAGATGACTACCAGGAATAATTCATATTGACCCAACTGTGCCGAGTTTTTCACAGTTGGTTCAATATGAATTATTCAAAATCTGCCAAAATATCAATGAATTACGCGAGCCTGGTAGTCATCTGGTGGATTCTTGGTGAATTACTTAGGAAATCCTACTTGGGCAGTCAACTTACTGTATCAGATTTGGTGGATTCCAGACGTTGCGGTAGGTTGGGCGGGTAACTTGACCCAAGTGTGATAAAACTCGCGTCGTCCGGCGGGGCCTCGTAGCTCAGGTGGTTAGAGCGTTGGCTGTACTAGAGCCTTCCCCCTTACTGCGTGGGTTCGAATCCCACCGAGGCGCCGAGTTTTTCACAGTTGGGTCAATATGAATTATTCAAAATCTGCCCAAATATCAATGAAATGCGTTTTCCTTTCTAAAAGATCAATTAAGTAGGGTTGTAAAACCAATCATCTTGCAGAATAATTCTATAATATTTCAGTTACCTCAGGTTGCCGGCTTTCGAACAAACCTCCTTCCGGCTGCATACAAAAACCACACTCTGTAAAAAATGGCTAATTATGTAGCAT